TACAGGGAAGGCGAGGAGAATGAGGCGGACGGAGAAGAAGAGGGTGGAGAGGTAGCCATTGACCCGGGGGGGGTTCCCTTTCCCTTATGAATGATTATTTTTTTTCTCGCTTTCTTGTCCTTCCTTTTGCTTTGTCTGTTGGCCCTTGTTTTTTTTATTACCCTCTTTTTTCTTTCCCCAGTTGTCAGTACCGTAAGTGGATAAGCCGGATGGGACGATGCCAATCCAGGCACCCGCGGATGACTTTTCCCTGACAGTGACAGGTACACTGTGTGTCTCTTCTCCCCAGAATACGTACCCTCCGCGGATGCCGCCGTCGCCGTGATACTATGAGTCAGGGGAAAATCATGCAACTCCCCTCTTTCGGTCGTGCCTCACTCTTGATACTGCCGTCTTTGATTTCTCTCTTTTTTTTGGGACCCTTTCCTCCTCTGTTTTGATCCCGAACTCTACTTTGCCCTGAGCCAAATTTCTTTTTTTTTTCCTTCTCTGCCCACTACCTCACTCCAGACTAAGAAATTCTAATTGATCGTCAGCTTGCGGGGAAACTCAAAACCGTCACAAACAGCAGCCGAACCCATGGCGTCATGGCGGGAGACGCGGGATCCAAAGCCTGGAGAGAGAGGGGCAAAGCGGAGCTCCCACGGTACGGTACGGTATGGTTACCGCCCATCCGGGTTCCACTCCACTCCGCTGCAACAAAAGAAAAGAAAAAGAAAAAAAAATGCCAAAAGTGTAAATGTAAAAGGGTGACGATCTGAGGTGATAGTACACTGGGGAGGCAAAAAGGAAAAAAATGAGGAGAATCATCTACTCACATGGGAGCAGCCTCCTTCTCACCACACACCCTCCAAAAACTGCAATGTTGTTTCTATAGGCCGCACAGACAATCAAGGCCAAAGTCGACTATCGTATTCCACGACGGGAAGGAGGGGTGATTGGTTCCTGAGGAACCGACGGGCACTAGTCGTGATCGGGGCTAGTAAGTACTCACTAGTAACTTACCGCCAGTGGGAGGGAAAGCGGTCACGCTGAGCAAGAAAACGACTCGAGGAATGAGAGCTAGCCAAACAAGGCAAGAATGCAGACGGTGACAATAATATAGCAAGATAATAATTATAAGGTAGGTCACGTTGCAAGGCCAAAGGAAGGAGTCCAAGGCAGGTAAATGCCAGCGAGTGGATGGGTTAACCAGCACGTTCTTGGCAGGTCTGTTTGGAATCCAGTAGGAGACACCAAAAGAAGTATGCCTTGGTCCTGGTCATGCAAATGGATGAACAGGGAGAAATAGATAGTTGCTAGTCAAGCTATGAGTAATTCCGTTCGAGAAGTGAACGATGTCACTCACCTATCAGCCGCCCCAGAAAAGAAAGGCGAAGAAAAGATGAAGTAGAGGTAACTCCTCCGTAAATTCGGAGAAATAGTAAGCAGATGGATTCGGACAAAGGATGAGGTTGGTACAACATAAAAAAGACGACTGCCAGATATCGTCTCCTCTCCTCTAGCATGGACTCCGTGGTTGTTTATATTCACCTCCAGGCTCCTCAGCAGCACTTCCCTCCGCCTGATACCCCTGTTCAGCCGATGAAACCTGTTGTAACCACACGCGGGAAACTCGGGTGACCCGGCCGGCTACCATCGCAGAGGCAGAATGGAGTCAGAGCACACTTCTACTATAACAATACGCTTGAGAACAATGGACAAAGCCAGGATCGCCTGGGCTTGTACGGAATCCGAGCGAGACACTCCCCCTCCCCCAAGTGAGTCCACTGTTGCCCGGGGGGGGTTTTTTTCTTGGTCGAAGCTGATGGGAATCAATCCTGAACGGAGACTGGCTATCGGTCTGGAGGGGATGGCGACACTATCGAGACGCTATCAGGGACTAACTGCTGCTAGCAGGAGAAAGAATACTATCGCTGCGAGTCATCCATCCAGTAGCGCGTTGTAACCCCAGACCCAAACGACTCTCTACGCACAGTCGATCTGCAGCTGCCGGTGTCACAGAGCGCCCTGGCCATCCCCCTTCGAACTGCGGAGAGCAGAAACTAGGGCTGGGAACTTTTTTCATCCTTCCAGTCCACCCCTTCGATCGGTCCAGGCCACAACAACCGAGAAAAATTCAGGATGGTCTAGATAAGACGGTCTACAATGGTCTACCCACCATGCCGTTTAGCATCAACACTTGTCGACTTAGTTCCATTCAAGATGGCTGAAAACCATCACAAAGAATGTGAGAGGGCGAGAGCGTCATTCACGCCGTGCTGAGCGATCAGACGACTTCCTCTAGTCTCCCCTCCATCACACTCGCTCGTCCAAATGCCCCGCCCCAAAATTTTACCAGCGACGCGTCTGGATTCATGATCTGATCTGCTTGGCTACTTGGGGTCTACTTTGCATTGACCTTTTTGCTTGGTGATTCCGGCCGTTTCAGGATTCAATGATGTTGGGTGGAACTTGATTCCCAGAGTGGCAAATGCGGTGTTCCTGGGGCAGGAAAATACCCGTGACGATACAATCTTTGTGGGTTCCATTTGCGCTACAGAATATTATTTACTAGCCAATCTGTCTTTACAGTCTGCCCAATAATCCCTGTTGCCGGATACTTTCGTGTCTGGTCCGTGAAGGCTCATTGTTCCGCCCTGCCGGATAAACCCTCGATCCATGGCGCAGGCACCAGCATAGATCTTACACCAGGATGTCCTGACGAAAATTTATTTGCTCACGGGTCTGGAGGGTAGGCTTCGTCAGACGCAACGTTGCTCCCCCCCGGCAGATCGACTCGAGCTGATTGCGTCCGCTACCTTCGAGTCAGCTACATATTTAGTTACAGACTGGTGGTGGTGACTGAGATGCAGATCAATCACGAGTCACAATGGCTGCTTCAATCAATCAATAACCCCACCATCCACTGTGACTGGAATAACCCCTGCAGGGCTGACTACCTAGGCCGCGCTGGTGCTTCACCTCCTCTGTCACTTGTTGCTCGTCACACCTTCCCCTCCTCTCTTCTATTGCCTTTCTTGGATTTGGCATCAACTTTGGATGGGGGCTATGCTAGACAACGTGCGCGTCCAAGACAACAGATCCCGTGCTACGGTCGCCCCTCTCATCTGTCGATATTAAAGTCGTGTCCTGACTTGCTTATTGGCAAGCATTGACGTCAATGGTCTGAAAAAGGAAGCTGGTCTTTATGCAACTGAAACACTTGCCGGTGTCCTAACGTCCTGAGGCAAAGGATGCCAGATGCGACTTGTCGACGAACAGCCGTTGGTACCAAATCCATCCCTGTCTCTACGCGTGGTCTGGATCCATGGCTGGGAACGTACCTCCAACACTAGTATACACTCCGACATAGCGGCATCCAACAGTGACTGCAGAAGCTTTCACGGGAGCTGCCAGGGCCGAGTCTGTGCGTATGCAGCCTGGTAATGCATCTGTTCCGAGCAGGATCTCCGAAGTGCAGTACATTGTATGAGCGATTTACCATGACCTTATGAACTGGGATCTTATGAATCCACTTGAGTGGATTGTCGCAAAGCCTCGTTGACTCATTCGCATACGGCCCGGCCATGTATAGCCCCCATACCAGGCCCGGGCATAATGTGGGATGTCTTGGTCTGGATGCTTACAGTCAGAACCTAAATATGAGCACGCCAACTAGAACAGCCACACCTACGGGACACCTGACACCAGCTCGGCTGTAGGCACACCACTCTAATTCCCGAACCAACATCTTCCGGATGCGCCCTGATTATGAGCAAGGGTAGCGTCGGCCACCCCAAGCCACCTATCTTTAGCCAATCACTCCTCCAATCTCGGACATGATAGCTTTGCTTCGACCTGACTGCGCTTGGAATCGGATGCTTTGGCGCTCAGACAATAATAGCTTGACTGGGCCATGGCCAATCAGACGATTTGCGGCGGTAATGACCAGACATTATACGTCCGTGCTAGAATACATTCACCGTGGAAGAAGGACGATCACTCAACATCTAGATGATTTTTCAAATCGAGGTGTGTGTGAATCATCTAGAGCTGATAGCATCCCCTCGGTCAATACTGAGAAAATTGCTCCAAAGCCGTGACAAGCGATCCCGGCTAAAAAAACACCAATATATCGAAGCCGCCAAGTACTATCCCGACTCCCCCAACAGCGGATTGAAACCATATCTAAGTCTCACTATCCGGTGTAGTTCTGGAATCTAAACCTACGGGCAACACAGCTCGGAGAACGTCCGCGGCATATCTGGACTGACGCGTGGAATACCGTGTTTGTAATCGATGCCGACGCCCAGAATGCTCGTAGCCCGTATACCCCCCGACCCTCTTCAAGGATTATGCTTTGTAGGGACCCTAGTTTGCTCGATATATTGGAACAGCACATGGTTGGACGCAGGTCGCGTAGTACCCAGCTTGTGACTGGCACACTAATATTACTTAGTGACCAATACCACTAGGACCAACTAATAAGTACCCTTGCCGGGTTTTTCTACGTCCATTGGTAAAACAATGTTCGTGTTTTTTTTCGGGACGTTCTTCTTTCTTCTGGGTTTACCTTGGGAAGTATATTAATGCATCTTCGGCATGCTCATTAACAGGCTAGATAACATATCCCGCACATTGGCAATTGGTAATGATTATGTGGCATTTCGATTGATTGAAGATGATAGCTTTCCCTACAACGCAGAAAGGAATTCCAGCCATGTCCTTGAGACTAGTTGGTGAAGGGTGTATGTGGGGATTGACTTGGCTTATCCGGAGGTTGGTGATTACAGCTGCGGGTGGTGGGGTGAGGTTAGGGTTGCGGAGGAGTGGAGGGTGTTGGGCCTGTGAGGCAGTTATGGAGATAGGGAGGGTATATCCGAGCGAGGTTTACAATGGTTATTGAACTCTTAGTGTGATGGGGGCGGGAGTTTGATATGTGGAAGTAAATGAAATGTGTGAAGTATTTACATTGAAGAGAAAATATACAGTCGGCTAGGCATCTATATAAGCCAGACTCAACCCAACACTCCCGACATTCCATGGTCAATCGGGATACATGTCCCGTTGATAATCTCCGCCCCAGGACCACACGTAATAGACAGACACAGCTCAGCAACGCGGTTGATATCGCACATAGGTGCCGCAGCAGCAGTCATGAGAGCAACGGCCTTGTCCTTTCCTTCCAGGTTGATGTTGGACATGAACGCATCCGCAATGTTCGTCTCCATGCCGCCCATCATCAGCGCATTACATCGGATTCCCTTGTTGCCGTAGTAGGAAGCCGTGTTCTTGGTCAAGCCAACGAGGCCGTGCTTACTAGCGGTATATGCGGCACCTGTCACTTGTCAGTCAATCTATCCAGACATTGGGAATCATCCGGTAAAAAACATACCCGCCATCCAACCCGCCTTTCCTGCAATGGAGACGATGTTGACGATACTTCCATTGACAACTTCCTGAGCAAGCATATTCCGAACAGCCAGTTTGCTCAACAGAAAAGGCGCAGTCAGATTCACAGCCATGACCTTGTCCCACAGCTTCTCGTCCAGGTCACCGACAGCATCGAACTGATCCATGATTCCAGCATTGTTGATGAGAATATCGAGTTTCTGAAATTGCGCGACGATCTCATCGAAAAGGGCTTGCACCTCTGTCGCAGAGGTGATGTCTGTCTTGATGATCTTGAGCCTTGCGTCGCCGGTGGGTCCGGCAAGATCTAGCGACGTCTGACGAAGTCGCTCCTCGTTGACATCGCAGATGACCACGTTGGCTCCGGCAGCGAAGAACCGGGTAGCGATAGCTTTGCCTAGGCCCCCGGCACCACCGGTAACGAGGCAGGTTTTTCCAGTGAGGTTGATGGACATGGTGATTGTTAGGATCTCAATTTGATGCTCTTGTTGGTAATGGTCAGGGGACATCCATGCCCTTTATAGTCCGGGCCCTTGATAGCCATATCCACATGGTCTGACCACTGGAACGCAGGCAGCCGTTTCGCTTCAAGGGGCCATTCTGTGGGTGCGTATAGGCAAGGGCGTAAGGGTTCGGATACTGTTGTTTGGGACATCCGACCGGACCGTTTGTCGTATTTGCGTATTCGGCGGGTTGTGTGGGGTCAGGGGACCATGGGAAATGCCGCGCCTTTTTTATATAGACATTTCTGCCGCCGTATATTGCGTATTTCGTATAGGGTACGATTGATTAGCTGTAGGGGTGTGTTTGAGGTTTGCGGCCACGAGTGACGCGTCGTTGACCCGTCGGAGGCGAGGATTGTTTCAGTTTCGCATGCCGTCCCGGAATATATCATAGGGAGCCCCAGTCCTCAGAGAGTGAGAATCTCATCATGAAGTTCAGTCTCTCGAGTCTGCCTTGTATTCTACCTGGACATTTCATCAATTTTCCACTGCAACTACAGGACATGGTCGAATGACCACTAACCTTCAATGGCATGGTTTTGACCAACCTAGACCCGTTCATGGGCTGGTGAATTGAAATGTCCGGGGGCATGGGAAGCGAAGGGCAGGGCAGACAATAGAAAAGAAAGAGGGAGAGAACAGAAAGACCGAAAGAGAGGATGAGGCTGAAGGGTCACATGTCCATATCTCCTCGTCCTTCCCTTTTCTTTACACCAACTTCTCCACCTGCAACTAATTTCGACTTCAAACTACACCTTCCAATCGACACAATGACATTCCGAAATTCCCCACGGCACAAATCCTTATTACTCACAGCCCATTATTCCAGTTGCATTTGATAAGCTTATCAACTCGGGATGGCTTATGGGTTATGACAAATCGACATGACTGGAGACAGCTGCTCGGTCTGTCTCGTCTGTGGTCTCCCCAGCTTTTTCTGGGCGAAAGTGCTCCACCGGCCATCGCGCAGACCTTCTCGATCTGGCAATGCTCGCTGTCGGCTTATCTTATCGCTACCCCGGCTATCGCTTCCCCGGTTCATCGATGCCTGCAGAATGCATCTATGACCCTATCGCTCATGGTCCGAGGCGCCCATCCCCCTCCTGTAGCATGGCAATAAATACCCCAACTGGTGGCGGCGGCCACGGTGAACTCAATTGCAGACGTGTCTTTGTATTCCCAAATATTCCCCAACGATGGCGATAATAGAAGATGAGATTCAGCCTGCGGGCCCTCCTACAACAGGAGAGGATGTCCGGCTGGAGCATCTGGGCTATGAGCAGGGTATGTCAGCCAGATTAGGCATGTGGAATTGTGTTAACGTCCGTAGAGCTCAAACGGTCATTTGGCCTCCTGGGTATGATTGGCTTCAGTTTCAGCGTCGTCACCTCGTAAGTCATTCGCTGGGAGATATAGAGCATATCATGCTGACTCTGTCTCAAGATGGACCGCATTAAGTGGTGTCTTCATTGTTGGCGTCACGTCGGGTGGCCCCCCGGTTATGGTCTTCAGTTTCATCGGTGTCAGCCTACTCACCTTAGCCGTCGCCATCCCCATGGCTGAAATGTGTTCGATGTATCCAGTGGCTGGAGGTCAATACTCGTGGGTGGCTGCCTTGGCTCCTCCAAGAATCTCCCGCCAATTATCATACATAACCGGATGGTTCATGCTGATAGGTATGACCCAACAACGATACTTTTACCACCGTAAATGCACAGCCAAACTTACCAGAAAACCCCTAGGACTGCTCGCCATGGGCGCAACCAACAACTCCATTGCGGCACAATTCGTACTCGGAATGGCGAACCTCGTCTTCCCATCCTACGAAATCCAGCGTTGGCAAACCGTCTTAGTAGCCTACCTTGTGGCAATCCTCGCTGCTGCCATCAACATCTGGGGCCCGCATCTACTCAACCGGCTCGCCCGTTTCATCCTTATCTGGAATATCACCGCTTTTTTCATCACCGTCATCGTGCTCCTCGCCACAAACGACCACAAGCAATCTGCATCATTTGTCTTCGTCGAATTTCAAAACTTCACCGGCTGGGACCGAGCCATGGCCGCCATCGTAGGTATCCTACAAGCCTGCTTCGGGATGTGCTGCTACGACGCCCCCTCCCACATGACCGAGGAGATGAAATCCGCCTCCAAACAAGCACCGCAAGCCATCATAATGTCCGTTGTCCTTGGCGCCGTCACCGGCTTTGCTTTCCTTCTAGTCCTGTGCTTCTGCATCGGAGATATCACCACCACTCAGAACTCCCCTACCGGAGTCCCCGTCATCCAGATCTTCTACGACTCCACCGGTAGCAAAGTAGCAGCCTGCTTCCTAGCCAGCATGACTGCCGTGATCGTCATTGTCGCAGGGAACAACATCCTCGCTGAGGGCTCCCGCTGTGTCTACGCCTTCGCCCGCGACAACGGTCTCCCGTTCAGCCGATTCCTCGCCAAAGTCGACAAAAAGCGCCAGGTTCCTATCAATGCAGTCCTGCTCACATTGATCGTTCAGCTCGCACTGGATGCAATTGACTTTGGCACCTCAACGGGCTTTGAGACCGTCATTGCTATTTCCACTGAGGGTTTCTGTAAGTTCTCCCCTCATAGATCCCTTCCTAAATATCAACAGAGAACAACCATCGCTAACAGAAGTTTTTTAAAAAAAAAAGATCTCTCCTACGCCATGGCCCTGGGAAGTCGTCTCCTAGGCTACGTAACCAACCATAAACGTACCCTTACGGGCCCATTCGCCCTCCCCACCTCAATGTCCATTAGTCTGAACGTGCTGGGCCTATTGTTCCTGCTCTTTGCGTCCATCACGTTCAACTTCCCAGAATCATACCCGGTGACGAAGGACTCGATGAACTACACCAGCGCTGCGATCGGAGTGATTGGAGTGATCAGTGTAGCGACATGGGTAGTGACAGGGCGAAAGCATTTCACGGGCCCGGGGGCGTGGGATGGAAGTGGGGATAGGGTTACGGAGGGGAAAGTGGTTGAATTGAACGAGGAGAAGGAAGTTGAGATGGAGAAGAGGGGATGAATGATTGTCCTCGGACATGGTTTTTTCCCTTGTATGTAAAATTATGTGCAGAATATATATATATATATATATATATGTGCGCAGTATACCCATTTATGTACATACATACCTTATTAGTATATGAACACTAGATGCAGATTCACACTAGTATGACTTATGGACAATACCTAGTTAACTAGTAACCTGGAAATAAAAAAAAAAAAAAAAAGGTTACTCATCACCCCCAACCGGCCTCGCAACCATCAACGCCAACAACGAGTTAGCCACCTCCGCTGCCGCAAGCGTGGTCGTCTCCCCGGCTGTATCATAAATCGGAGCTACTTCGACCACGTCCGCGCCAATAACAGGCATCCCTCGCAGGGCGTCCAGAATAGTCAGAAGTTCACGGGTAGTAAATCCACCTGGTTCCGCAGTGCCGGTGGCTGTACATACATTCTCATCAGTTTTTTATTTTTTTTTCTCCATTGTCCTTTTATATATATATATATATATATCCTCGTAGTGAAAGGGAAGTTTGGAGTGGAACACATACCAGGTGCATAAGCCGGATCCAGCACATCAATATCAACCGAGATATAGACTCGGCTGTCCCCTACGCGGGATTTGATTTGTTCGACGAGGCCGGAAACACCGAAGCGGTCGAGGTCACGGGCGGTGATGATTTCGAAGCCGCAGCGGAGGTCGTTGCGGATGTCGCCTTTGGGTCGGACGACGGGGGCGCGGATTCCGACGTGGATGGAGGTGTTGCGGATTAGGCCCTAACTTGATTCTTAGTTTGTTGTTGTTGTTGGGGTGGGGGGGAGAAAGGGAGAGATAGTGAGGCCATGGTGTGGTTAGTATGTACCTCTTCGTGGGCAAGGTGGAGGAAGGTGCCGTGGTTAACGCCGCTGTGGTTGTTGAGGAACGTGTTAGTATGATGGGATTTAGTGGGGATTGTTGGCATACGCATAGTGGGAGACTCCGCCGCCTGATATCAGGTTTGTCAGTTACATGTCACACAAATAAAGATTAGAGTGGGGTAGTAAGTAGGAATAGTACCTAGTACTTTGGGGTCCCATGTATCTAGAAATATCATGTTGGTAAGCGGTTTATACATGTATATTAATCACATGAGGAGTGGAATTTCACGTACCAATATGACTGTCAAAATGAATCACAGAAACAGGACCCCAATTCTCGTACGTCGACCGCAGAGCCGATAAGGTCGTAGTATGGTCTCCACCTAGGGTAATAATACGGGGGATTTGGCTGAGGTGCGTAGTATTGGCACGACGACGAGACGAGACAACCTATATATATTCCTCCGTCATTAAATTCGAGCACTACTAACCCTGCATTGAATATTCTATATACCTTATGTGCCATATCAAGCTGCTTCAACGCCACGGTATTATCCAACCAGGTTAATGGTGCATCACCGCAGTCAACAAGCTTCGCCCAGCTAGCAAAGGCATTTTCTCCTGTGTAGATGCTCCATCCGCCGAGACGACGAGAGCCGAGACGAATACCTTTGGGTCCAAATCGAGCTCCAGGGCGAGCTGTGACGCCCTACGTGTGTGTGTGTGTGTGTCTATTAGTTGGCGATCGATGGCAAGGTGAATGAGGAGGGAATATGGGGCTAACAGTGTCGAAGGGAGCGCCGAGGAAGGCAATGTCATAGTTGTTGTTGGTGGTGGTTGATTCATCATCCACGAAGCAATTGAGGTAGGGCAGGTTGGCGAAAGTAGTCAGACCGGAGAATTGGCTACCGGTGACGATGTCAATGGGGTCTTCGTGAGCGAGGGGGTATTGATGGGAGGAGGGATTGTTATGGATGGCTGCGACGGGAGGGAAGACGATATCCCTAGCGTAGGCTGGGAGAATAAGTAGTAGCGAAGCAGCTACAATAATGAGAGAATACATGATGTCTATCTAACAAGCCAGGCAAAGACCAGTTGAGCAAGTATGGATGACCCATAGTGGAGAGAGAGCGAGAGCGAGAGCAGCGTGGATGACAGGACGATCCAAGGACGTTATTATAGTTTTGCTGCTAGTTGAAGCTAGCCAAGGGCAAGTTTCTTATCGGAGCTGGACCCAAAAAAGCAGTTGCATGCGATGGACAAGCTCCACAGCTGCAGCCAAGCGAAAGGGTCCAGCACGACAGGGTTCATATCGTTGATTGATGATTACGTGAGTGGTAGATTTGATTATTCATGGATATTGTTTGTCTCTTATGGAACCGGGATGGCGATGAGGGGACGGCGGATGACGATCGTTGAATCTCGTGCGGAGAGAGAGAGGAAGGAACCCCACTTTGATTTTTCCGCATCGCTGCTTTGCTTTCCTTTCGCGTCATCCATCCATCCCCCCCCAATTCTCAATCTGCTTCATCGCTTAATACTACTTAGTACCATATTACAATGGTATAGTTTGATAACCTCGCTTGCCATCTGCGGCAATTGATCCCCCCCCTGAATTCTTTACTAGCATACACTAACACCCCCCCACCAGCCTCACGCAGACTCCTCTTACTTCGGCGCCGGCAATGGCTCCAAATCCGAAGTCTACACTCAGGTCCTAGAGCAAGCTCGCGGTTTGGTATACGATCAGCGCAACTGGGTACGCATATTCTCCTCCTATCCTTACCCTCCTATTTCCCTCATTGCCCAATTCATCAGCTAACCACTTCCCCCACCACGAACAGGTCAGGTAAGAAACACACAAGCCCCAACTATCGCGCCCACTCTCACCCAAGCCTAACCCTCTCCAAAATCAAAACAGCAACTTCTCCAACGTCGCCTCCCTCCTCTGGCACGCCTACGCCGCTCTCCCCGCCCCCTCCTCCTCCGTCAACTGGGCCGGTTTCTACATCCGCCAGGACAAATTCCCCGTCCTCGGCGGTGCACCACTCTCCGAAGAAGACAGCAACAAGAAGCCCGTCCTCCTCCTCGGTCCATTCCAGGGCCGTCCGGCATGCCAGGAGATTCGCTTCGGGCGGGGCGTGTGTGGAACGGCGGCGGAGAAGCGCGAGACGGTCGTTGTGCCGGATGTGGAGAACTTCCCGGGACATATTGCTTGCGATGCGAGCAGTCGGAGTGAGATTGTGGTGCCGATTTTGAGTAAGGGGGAGGTGAGTACATATCTTCTGAATATTTATCGGTCTGGTGGTGTTGGTTAGGAGGTGGATGGATGGCTGATGTATGTGTATGTGAGCAGACTGTGGCGATTATCGATATTGATTGTGCGGAGCCCAATGGGTTCGATGATGAGGATAAGAAGTATTTGGAGGAGTTGGCTGCGTTGTTGGCGGAGTGCTGTGATTGGTAATTACTACCTGAAAGTTTGATTTGATGTGTTTATAGATCAGTCGTTGTGGATATGATGATTTTGGTATGGTTTTATGATATATAGATTGGTTGAGTAATGGAGGAGATGAAATCATGATGGCTTGTATAATTCCCAGTGCGAGTTTGCATTATCCTGGGTATTCTGTTCTTTAATTTCTATCATCGCAACTCGTGTGCCAAATGTAACCCGTCTAACGCCTGTGCATCGCTGGGGTCTCACGGACCCGAATGTGTCTTCCCAATATAGTAAAACCAAATATAGCGTCTAAGTCAAGGCCCGCTATGGCAACCAAACATATATCCAAAAAGTCTATCAGGCGTCGCTGTATTCCAAATCAAAGAAAACGAAAGTGTATGTGTGCCGCTGTTCCATGGAACGAGCAAAAAGGATGCGCGTGCGCCAACCAGGGTCGCCCGTGGAATGAAACAATATAAAAAGGTGTATCCGAAAAGACGGGAACAATAGAAGAAAACTTAAGCATAACCCCAGAAGAATGGGGTGTGGTGAGAATGGGGAGGACGGCATCCGAGACAATGATCGGCTTAGGTGCTGAACATGCTCATTTGTCGCTTCAGAGGACTGATCGATCCGGCATCGCCATCCTCACTGACCCCCAAGCCACTGTCCGTGCCAGTTAACCCGGCATCGGTATCAATATCCCACTCCGTGTCTTCGTCATCCTCGGTGGCTTCGAGGCCGGCATCCGAAGCGCTGTGCCAGCTCTTTTGCACGGCACCGCGTGTATTCCATCGCAGCGCTCGCTGAACGCTCTGGAACCACTCTCCGCTACCCGCCACGACGGTCGGGAAGGGGTATTGACTTGCTTCGACGGTAACATAGTCGCCTTGGCGGAGTTCCACACGACCCTTCCCATCGAACGAGCAGTACGCGGTCGACCGGGACCCGGCAGGAACGGCAATACGAAGGAGCAGGGTATCGGAGAGAACCATGGGACGGAAGGAAAGTGTATGGGGACAGATGGGGGTCAGAAGAATGCCGGGAATAGAGGGGTGAATCAAGGAACCGCCAGCGGAAAGAGAGTATGCCGTAGAACCTGCAACCACATGTCAGTCGGCGACCAAATCAGTCTTGTCTTACGCGTCACACGTACCGGTCGGAGTAGAGAAAATGCACCCGTCCGCTTGCACCACGGTGAGCAGATCATTGTCTGCGTACAGTTCAAGGTTTGACACGTATGGTGACGGCCCGCGATCAATCACGAGCTCGTTCAACACCTCGAACTGCTCCCCTTCCTCCACGGCGCCCGCCTCGGCGCCCTTGCTGCGATCTTTACGGAAGACCGTACAAGTGAAGCGCATCCGCAGGTTCACGCGCATACCTACATCACCCATGACTGCATTCAAGTGAGACTTGTAATTCTCAAATTCGAAATTCGTCAGGAACCCTAAGCTCCCCAGGGAAAAGCAGAGGACCGGTGGGACAATGCGTTGGAAGAGCCAGGATGTGAAAAGCACGGTCCCGTCCCCCCCTAATGTGAGGACCAAATCGAATTTCTCGGGGGCTGTCCAGCAGAGATCCGGAGTCCAGTAGTGTAACATCTCCTCGAATCGGGGCTCCTTGTCCAGAAGCCCCTGTGCATGGAATCTTCGTGAGTTGCGAAGTTTAGCGTCTACGTAGACATTCACTCCAAGATCGTTGCCGTAGCGAGGGGTGGAGAGAAGCCACTCCGCCAATTCGCGGGTCAGATGCACCAGACTGTTATCCCGCGCCTTGGTGACGATCATCACATTCTTGACAGCGCGTTTGATTGGTCTTCGCTGCAATTGTTTCGACACCTCTCGGACGCCTGTCGCTGTCTGTACCAGACGGGAGTGCGATAGCCACTCATCGTCCGCAATCTCTTCCAATACTTTCTGAATATTTACGGCGTCATCGAAACGCTGGTGGAAGAAGCATGGTGATTGCATGACCAACCGTGCTGTCGCAGGAGAACGGTCCAGGTAGGTCCCTAACTGAATATTGGACAGCGCTGCCGAGAGCATCTGTGACGAGGAATTACTGGAGTTGCGCTCCGTTTCTTTCGACGAGGTAGGGTTCGTGTTGAGAAGCCCCAAAGAGGCCGCCAGCGGCATATTTGGACTTTGGTGGTTGCACATGGATGGTCGTGATGCGAGAGCTTTGAGAAGGGTTTGGCGAGGGATTGAATCGTTAGATAACGCGTTCCGATGATGGCCCGCTAGAGAGGCCGTCTGCCGGCGTGGCAGGAAGGAGGTCGTGAAAGCGGGAACCGCGGCGCCCTCACGAGGATGATCAGGTTGCTGAAGAGTGCCAGTACTGGGACCCAAATTGGGAGTCCCGGGAGCCGAGTCGGCCGTGTGGATATCGTTTGTAGTATGAGAAGGATCTATGTGCGAGGCATAGTCGCGGAGGAGCGACGCTCCCACAGTGGCCGAGCGATGAGGAGGAAGAGGGCGCACCGGAGGAACTGATAGTGGTGGGGCCGCGGAGGAGGGCGGTGGTGGTGATGAGGGCAATGATGTTGAGGAAGACGGCAGAGGGCCAGTTGCGGACGAGGGAAAAGGGTGGTTCATCGAGCCATGGTCAAGCGGGGAGGACGCCATGAACAGATATAGAAATAGGACAGATTGTGTGATGCAGGAGCTGGTTGGTTCAGATCAGACGGGAACACAGAAGAGAGAATTTAAGAAAAAAAAAAAAAGAAAAGGACTTCGATAGGTAATGATGGAATATGCTGGAGACGGAATGGAAAAACGCCGGGGGGAAATAATAATAATAATGGGAGTAACGAACTCGGATGTAACGGGGTTTGGGCGGGCGGTCTTATCCAGTGTAATCCACTTCAAGGTTCATGGCGGCCCTGACCATTGGTCAGACTGAACACTTTCCTCTGGTTGCATCCACTGGCATCGGTAGTCTAGTCTGCTGGTCGAACTTCGATAGGCTTCCACATCCTTAATAATGAGAAGTCAGAGCGGGTGACTGTCATCATTGAAGCCGGGGTGGCAGTTAACTCCGCAACAGACACTCCGCGGGCCTGAGAAAACCATTGATTGTACCGTAAACTTACTACTACCCAATCAGCATACTCACCCAAATTCCAAAAGGCCATGGAACACGCACCGAATAGAAAGAGACAGTAGTAAATAGCTGTCGGAAATGACGTGGGCTATTCAAGGCTGACGGAAAAAGTAATGTGGGAATTCTTGGTGAAGCGTACAGAGTACAGTCAGTCAATCAGAAAGGTAGGGGGGGGGAGGGGGGGAGAGAATTGGAGAGACCGAGAGGATATGCATAGTCAGTCCTACTGGAGTTAGTCTAGTGGGTGTAAAGTATGCAACTGCTCTTGCTCGTATTGTCATGATTGTTTACATGATTAATTTACCGGATGAATTCATCCCTCCCATTCCCTTCCCTTCACTTTCTTGTTCCACCCACCCCCCCATTGTCTGAAGAGGCCGATCACACACATCACACACATTGAAGAAGAACCTTTCCCTCTCCAGGTGCAAGGGAGCATCATACTGTGCAATGATGCACTTGCGGCATCTGATTGATCCATCAGATTCTTTCAGCTACTACTCTATTCCATTCAGCTGTGCAGGTCGGCGCATGCCTCGGTCGCCCTCCTTTTCACTGGATGTCTCTCGTCTTCAAAGATTACGAGCCATTTATTACACGTTGCAGAACGCAGGAATGGGGTGGCCTACAGTAGTACTACTCAATTCCACTAGTAATCGTCTTCATCCCACAGATCCCTGAAATTTTTGCCAACTTCACACACATACTTAGCTTTAGCTCTCTAGGACTAGAATGGTCACTTTCTATTAATATCCGGTATATTGCAGCACTCCCCATGTGGCTGGAGCTGGGGGGTTCGCTTTGCCTAATCCCTGAGATTGTAACTCCGAGACATCTAACTAATGGAAGGTGGTTGGCTCCTTTCACGCACGTCCCTCGCCGTGATCCTGTTAGATGGCTTGTCGGTTCCTGCGACGAATTCCTCCCCCTGCCATACCCTGCGTCCTTCTCTTAGCCTGCCCATCAGCCAGTAGGATATCGTCGATGACAATCCTTCCACACTCGTCCAGAAAGTCTCGTTCGCGCACATGGGCCCGCGTGCTGTGTGAAAAGCTTCCTTCGTGTGCAAGGGGGCATGTGTAAAAGCCACCTAAGTATACTGGCGATAGAAGGGACGACAAATACATGGGAGCGACCGCTCGCTGGCTGTAAGCGCCCCGTCGCGACTGAATTTACTTAGCTGCCGTGGTATCCGCCGGGGTAATCAAGCAGCATCGATCTTCCAGGCGTAGTCGCGGTGGACCTGATCCTCAATCGACTCGCGCATGATCCCCTCCAGGGGCTGGCCATCTACATCCTCCACCATGGCAATGTCTCCATCAGTGCCAACAGCCGGTGTGCCGTGACAGATCGCTGACGCGCGCTGGTGGACCTTCTCCCACGTTTCAAAGTCAAAAGCCCCTGAGCTCTCATTCAGCAGCAGATGGCCCTTGGACGAGAAGGCCAGGGCGTGGAGGGATTTGGCGGTGGCTGCCTGTTGGGTCGACGGCTCCCGGGTGATTTCACCTGATGCATCGACGGCCAGAACAGTCGCAGAGAAGGTCATGGATAGGGGAACAGCGGCCGATAGCAAGGCAAGAAGGGCGGTATGAAGTAGCGCGGGCAGAAGAGTCAGATACTGTTATAGATAAAAAAAAATAATGAGTTAGCCGACTAAGCGCCGCCAGCTGGACAGAAGTTGTCCAAATTTCGCCAGTCCATAAAACACGTACCGGTTCTCCTCTTCCTACACTCCCACCTCCGACGATGGCTAGCGTGACCACGACACCACGCCGAGGGTAGCCCCTCTCGCGTCCCAAGATCAATCTTCCGAGGACTCCCTTGATAATTCCCTCGACGTACCGTTCGCTCACACCAGCAGGTGCAGTGCCCGGCTTAACAAATACTTCCACGGTCGCTTCTTCGGGCTTCAAGGCATCTCGGCGTCCGGGAAGCTCGACGGGGGCATTGACAGAGCCCAGGATATTGGATCCAGTGGAGGGACACAGATAGGAAGCCGAGCCATCAGCGCGAGCAAGAGGGGTCAGAGTGGCGGTTGGGCCGACCATGATGACGCGCAATGTATAGGAACAGTTGAAAAGGACTCAAATAGCAAAAGAATGAATGGGGATAGCTGGTTAGTAGTATTTCGCAACTTGATGAGCAGACTTGAGGTGATGCTCTGGACCCCAAAGAGCTTCCAAGGTCGCCTTGGAAATTTTTGGCCGCGGAGCCTGCCGAGTGCGGGCCAGCTTGTGATTGGTAGACTCTCTCCCTGCTCACTCACTTCATTCTATACAACCGAAGAACCGGAAACAGTTGTACACCTCCCTTCTATGAATGTGCATTAAAGGCTTCCATGTGGCCTCACTTGAACATCCTCATTTAGTCGCATATGATTCTCGCTCTCTGCGCTTCGTATCATTTATACATTGCAGATTGAATGATCCGGTCTTCCCATCGAATCCTCGATCTTGCATAGTAAAAAATAACCCATCGACATCCGGCGAGTGACTTACCACCTTTACCAACGAGGTTGACTAGGAAGTTTAAGATACGCAAAATGGGCAATTTCAGGTACTTATCCAGCCTGTCATTTTCTAGAACTTTATTTTATCGAAGTTTATCAACGAAATTGCTGTTTGATCTTTGTTTATCCCACACCGTCAGCCGGAAGGATTGCTTCGGATGCCGACTCAAAAGCCGGAGTGTGTGCGACCGAGGGCTTTTCGCCGAAGAGTTCAAGTAGTGGCTCACGTTTGACACACTTGGAGGATGCTATCGTGGTTTTGGTGATTAACCATCGCCGAGGAATACGATATGAGGCAAGGGGCGGGATCAACGAATAACTTCCGTGTTGTATCGCTGTTACACACCGATGGCTGGCATGTTCTTTGGCAGTCTACTGTTCCGACAAGGATAGCCCGAATCGCAGGCCACGAGAGTCCAAAGTAACTTCTCTGGTATTGCCTTCGCAGTGGACCATCACTTCTCCGGGGCCATTGACTGTATTCAAGATTATAGTATGTATTATATCCCACACTTTGTGGATGCCGAGATCATATAACCCGACCTCCCAGAGATAGATACTCCGGGTCCGACGATACCAGGGGTGGCATTTAGCATCAGCATGCCTTGTTTTTTAAAAGCCCGCGGTGCCCACTGGGACTTGCTATGCTGGCATCTGCACCTGTAGTGGGGGCGGTCTTCCTACCAACGCTGCATGTTATTCTTCCTTGGAGTTCATCTTCTCACATCTCCTCCTCCAAGAATTGCCTCTAAGAAATCCTGCAATCATGCCCCGGATACTCTGCCTCCACGGCAAAGGCACCAGTGGTGCAATCTTCAAGTCTCAAACGTGTTGGTTCTACGACCACTCCTCAGTTTAGTCACCTCTCAGCTAACTTGGCTTGTTCTCCTTAGCTGCGCTGCGCGCTCGATTATCTGACCTACAAATCGACTTTGAATTTGTCGATGGGTTTTACTCCTCCGATCCGGCTCCAGGGATCGACCTCTTCTACCCACCCCCTTACTACTCCTTCTGGGAGCAAGACAATATCGAAGCCGTCTTCCACAGTCGCGACTGGCTCGTGAACTACCTAAGGATCAATGGCCCGTACGATGCCCTCATGATGTTTTCGCAGGGATGCGCTGTCGGATCATCCACCGCCCTTCTTCATTTGCTCGAAGAGCCAAATCAGCTCTTGCCCTTCAAAGCTGCCATCTTTATCTGTGCGGGAGTGCCACTACGCGTGTTGGAAAAGGTGGGGTATAAGATTGCCCCCGAGGTTTGGGACAAGGACATTGTGACTCGAAAGGCACTGGCAGCGCAGGCGGACTCCTCGGCGATCTTGTCGCAGGGCTCGATGCGTTGGCAGGGGGAGAAGGGAATTAGTGCGTCTGAAGCGGATATCCGGAAGGAAATTGCGCCTTCAAATGTCCAGATCGACATCCCGACGGTGCATATATACGGTGATAAGGACCCGCGATGGTCAGCTGGCATTCAGTTATCCCAAGCGTGTAATGCAACCAAGAGGAGAATGTATAATCATGGCGGAGGACACGAAGTCCCTCGTACGAACGAGGTGACTACCGGTATGGCCGAGCTGGTGAGATGGGCACTGCGTGAGGCCGCGGTGATTGATGAGTAAACAACCTGCGCCAACTGTCGACGATTTCCTCTCGATGATCACTTTTCCGTATAAACTGCTATAGATTCTCTCCTAATTTATCTGAATACACTATCTTGCGTTCGGCAACATGTGGGCCAATGTATGGGGAGTATAGATGTCTAAACAGCAACAGGCGCATGCGAAATAATTTTTCGTAATGAACTACTCGGTCTTGCGATTGAATCATATCATGTATACCGCATCCTTTTGTTTTTCTTTCTTTGGAAATTATTCCCATTTCTTTACTACTAACACCTAACCTACCGAGCCGTTCAAGTTTCCACAGAGTTCTGATCGGTCTCGTGATCATACACCCAAGTTGTCTTCGCTTGAGGATCGAAGCGGACTTGGTCTTTCTTCCACATCAGTGCCACACCGAACAGTTGGACCACGCCGCAAGCCCCCACTGCGTACATCTGACGATTATAGCCATGTGCATAGGCGGTCCGGATCGCTTCCTGGACACTCATCGGCAATCCCGTGAGGTGATTCGGGTCTGCAGCAGCCTCAGCGGGCGCGAGATGCCCCTTGACGTAATTGGTCAAAATGCTATTCACAATAGCGATGCCTAATGAGGCACCCAACATGCGTGCCTGGAGGGTCAAGCCCATCACAATGGCTAAAAGGATGTCAGTTGGAGTTGGTCGAGAAAGTGAAGCAGTAGAACTGGATCCCCCTATTGTATCGGACTGACCTTGTTCACGATGTCTGACCACCCAGGGAACCGCCATATACAGGGCAGCGATGGATATCCCGGTGCCCAGACCAGTCACAACCATGTATCCATACTCGCCCGGCCAGGCGTCCACAGTGGGAGGCACGGAAGACAGCAGAAAGGCCCCCACTATCTGTAGCACGGACCCAGCTAGCGTCAGATGCACAAACGGGGTTCTCAAGCGACCGGCGAGGACGCTGCAGCAAAATGCCCCCGCAGGGGATCCCACCCCAAAGGCAAGAACTCGGAGACCCGCCTCAATGGGGGTGAAGTTATTGACCGTTTGAAATCTCTGGGGCAACTCGATGTATAGTATAGTGATTGCAGGTCCGGTTGAGAAGAAGCCACTGCGCGACCGTCAGAGCTCCCATGTCCATGTTTAGCGAACTACGTACTACTAGATGACCATTATGGGACGGAGAGGGGACGTATCCACTAACATGATGATTCCCAACACCACCCTGCTTTTGAACAACCGCCATGGCAGCATTGGCTCTATGCGCACGTGCTTCCGGCCACTGAGGATCCACTCCCACGCCAGAAAGGCCGCCAGAAGGACACCCGAACCGGTTAAACACCCGATAATGACCCCCGATGACCAGGCATAGCGAACGTTGGCTTCCTCCAAGGCGGCCACTAGCAGCAGGGAAAATCCTAGAAGGAGCAGATATCCTAACAGGTCCGCCTGGGTTAGATATTGATGCAAGTTGCTCTGCGCAGAACGACTTGTTAATCCTCGAGGAAAGTTCTTCGGAAAGAACAGGCAGAGCATAACCCACGCCCATCCTCCCGCAGGCACGCTAGAGACAAGGATTAGGAATAGAGCGAGACAACAGGAAGGAGTCTAGTCTGCTATGATCTTACTTGAAGAGAAAAACCCAGCGCCACGAGCTGGAGCTGCTAATGCCACCTCCGATCAGCGATCCTAAGATAAGGGCGAAAGTCAGCACGCAGGACCCCACGGCATTGGCAATTTCAAATCTGTTCGGAGACACAATGCGCAGTAGGGTATATAGTCCAAGCGCGAAAAGTCCGGAGCCACCGATCCCTTGAAAAGCGCGGCAGATAATCCTTTCGTTTTGTCAGCAACAAGGTTCGATGCCCTCAAATCAGGATCCCCGAAGCCGGCTTACAGTTGGTCGATGCTTTGGGCGGCACCACAGCCCCCGGAAAAAGCAATGAATAGGAGCAGACTGCCCAACAAGGTTGGCTTGAGACCAAAAGCAAGCGCACATTTAGACCAAGGCGCGAGGAATCCGGTGTAGGTTAAGAGGTATGATGTGATGACCCAACTGCTTTGATCGCCTCCTTCAAGGCGTTCGCTGATGGTGACAAGCGATGTGCTGATGACTGTAATTTCAGCGGTGGCCAAGAAGAGACCCAGCGCGACACTAGTTATCGTGCGATAATCTGCATTAGGATGCATTCTACCAATCCCGGTCGGAGAAATGATTGCGTTCGCTTACCTGACCCCTACAATCCATAGTCGAAGCCCGTGCAAATATTCCGGTCGGGATATCTGACTCTGAGGCTCAACTACCGAATGGTTGAGATTGTTTTTGTGAGTAGCTTCGGGCCTTGACAACAATGGCTCTGGGGTCACTGCTGGTAGATCTATCAACTCGGTTCTCGAGCCATGCAACTCAAAACTGCCCATGGTTCGGAGTTCGGAGTGAAGTGAGCCCCACTCAATCGACTAGAGAGACGCCAAAACTGATCTGTCTTGATGCGATCAATAGTGGATGTGTGACTTATCGTCAGAGGCGTTTGTACCTTCGGCCCCAATTTAATTAATCTTCGAACCCCGTCGATGAAGGGCTAGAGGAGATCCGCAGGACTGGCTTTCTTTTCTGGGAATTTCATACGAAAATAAACATCTTCGTAGCTATGTTGATCGAGTTCAGCCACCAATGCAATACGCAATACTTGGCTGCTTCCCAGCCGGCGGAACTACAGGGTATGTGGCTAGTCAAGGAACTAAAAGGTAGTTGAGTGGTGTGTGGAACAAACGCGAAGAACCCTGAAAGGTTGCTTTGTCAAATGTTATGAACTCCTACATTCCCGTTCCCCATCGATTAACTATATAGTGTGGAGATCAACATAGCGCTGCCCCCTTGGGGTGCATCAATAAGTGGATGCCGTCTCAACTGCCCTGCGAATAATATTGACAGCTTGGGTCACATCTTCCATTGACCCTCCGCCGGGAACTTCGTGCCCTCGTCCGTGAACATACACCCATCTCACCTCAGCCTTGCAGACAGTATTTGACGTGGCTACCCGGCTGGCTGGCTCGTCTAGTGAGCCCCAAATGTGGGCCGTTGGAATTGGAATAATGCCTTTGGTAGCTTCAAGATCAACAGTCATCACACGACCTTTCTGAAGAGCTTCGTAATCCAGAGGGGGATGGATGATCGAAAGGATAATTGCAAACTTAAATGGCATCTCAGCCCGAGGATCCTGCTTGGCAAGATGAATCAGGTACGTGAGGATCATCGTGCCTGCTTGGCTGAATGCGATGACCCCGTCATAGGGCCCCTCTTCAAGAAGGTGTTCTTCCAAATAGTGATAAGCCGCAAACCCAGTTTGGGGGTTGTGCTCATCGAAGTAGGCATACACTGGTTCATCCTTCCAAGCCACCACGTCAATACCTGTGCCTCCTGCATTTAGCCGACGAGTTCGCGAGGGGTCTGTTCTCCGGCTACGGTACCTGGCTGCATCTTGGAAGGAACGGTTCCTTCAACAAAATCATAGATGTGATTATCGCCCAGTTCATACCGAATGGCAGCCGTCTGGATCTCGAATATCTTTGATGAAGAAGAGTATCGGTTAGTCCAAAAGATCGCATGAAAATGATATTGCTTTCTAGGGCCAGTACTCACTCGAGAATTGGTACCCGCTCCATGTAGACTATCGAGAGGTCAGCATCAAAGAACTAATGTTGACAGCAGGTTCCACAGCAACATTACCAGAGAATGCGCATTCTGAATGGTCTAAGACAATGTAAATTATTGTTGAGGGTCCTTACCTTCAGCAACTGGACTGGCACATCCATTTATCCCCGCGGGTTTGGGTGTCTGGCATTCTACGGAGGGTTACTACACATTCCTCTGTGAGCAAGACTGCAGACTAACACTTAGCTGCATGAACCTAGTACTCCTATCATATTTTAGGACTTGACCAGTTCCAATAATGTTCCACCAACATAATGCTTTTGATGAATAGTCTTCAGACTATGCAGGAATGCACGGCCATTTGTCAGACCTCACGGGCACACTGACAGACAGGCTTCCGGCCAAGAGCATCGATGGCGGGGCTAATAACTTCGCCTTGAGAGCTAATTAGTCACCAGCCATATTCTGTCCTTGCTCATGGCGTCGATCTGTGATAGCAATCGGGAAATAGCCATTTGAGTAGGTAAACCCCGAGCTTAGGGATCTAGAGCTTACTAAATAATTTCCTCTTAAAAGCCTACCTTACCAGGCACTCCGTTGCTCAAACCTAGTCATACCCTATTGCATTAGACATGCGCTGTCGGCTGTTGTCCATCTAAACGACTTTAGTATATCTTGATCATGGTGACCTTTTCCGGAAACAAGGCCCACAATGCCGCCGAAGGGAACCTCCTCACTCCTCTAGCCGTCGTTGGGATGTCGCTGAAATTCCCAGAAGATGCGACATCCCCGGAAGCGTTTTGGAAAATGTTGGTTGAAGGCCGATGTGTCTCTACGGAGTTTCCCAGTAATAGAATGAATATCGATGCCCATCACGACGCTGAACGAGGCCGACTTCACAGCGTCACATGCCGAGGAGCACACTTCATGAAGGAGGACCTTGGTCTTTTTGACGCCCCCTTCTTTGGGATTACTGATGCCGATGCGAAGGCTATGGATCCTCAACAGCGCCTTGCGTTAGAGACAGTTTACCGTGCGCTAGAGAATGCCGGGCTTCCGATCGAGCAGGTTGCAGGCTCCAAGACCAGCGTCTTCGCGGGCTCCTTTTGTAGCGATTACCATATGCTGCAGATTAAGGATCCGCTCAATGTGCCCAAGAATGCCACGGCAGGAACTGGTCGGAATATGATTGCGAATCGTATCAGCTGGTTCTACGACTTCCTAGGTCCTAGCGCGACTGTTGATACCGCCTGCTCAAGTAGTCTGATGGCGGTGGATCTGGCCTGTCAATCTATATGGGGCGGAGATGCTGCAATGGTATTTCAATCCCTTTGCGTCTTGGTTATTGGTCTAGTATAGAACTGCTAATCCGGGATCACTAGGGCGTCGCTATTGGCTGTAATATAATCCTGGCTCCAGAAATGACCATTGGCCTAGACAATCTTGGGCTGTTATCAAGAGATAGCCACTCTTATAGCTTCGATAAGAGAGCCAATGGATATGCCAGAGGAGAAGGTGTCGGTGCTGTGGTCATCAAGCGGCTTGATGACGCTATAGCCGATGGAGACACCGTGAGGGCTGTCATTCGATCGTCCAGCTCGAATCAGGATGGGAAGACGCCTGGAATTCTGCAGCCGAGCAAGGACGCGCAGGTTCGTTTGATCCGGGATACCTATCAAAAGGCTGGTCTGGACATGGGGGTCACTAGATATTTTGAAGCACATGGAACGGGTAAGAACACACCCCACCCATCGTAGAAGCAAACCAGCTGTTTAACTTCTGCCAGGAACACCCATCGGAGACCCGATCGAGGCTCGAGCTATTGGTACGGCATTTCGCTCATATCGATCAGAGGAAACGCCCCTATATGTGTATGTACCGGTGCTGAGAACAACATGAAGGTGGCTAATTGAATTATAGTGGTTCTGTGAAATCCAATATCGGCCATTTGGAAGGGGCCAGCGGGATTGCTGGCTTTATAAAAGCAGTCCTCGTGTTAGAGAAGGGTGTTATTCCACCGAATAGCAGCAATCTGCAGAACACAAACCCCCAGATTGATGAAGATTATCTGAGGCTGAATGTAAGGGTACCAATGTTTATAATGGCTTTGATGCTAATGGCCACGGTAGATAGTAAAAAGCGCCATTGTCTGGCCTACTACTGGACTACGACGAGCATCCGTGAGCTCATTCGGCTTTGGTGGTGCCAATAGCCATATTGTGCTTGACGATGCTTACAATTCCCTCCGACTGAGTGGCTCCGAGAGCGTTGGCCACCAGACTGTAATAGTGCCTGCACTGGGGCAGATCAATGGTATACGACTATTGAATGGTCACCACAGTACTAATTGTGTAGACAAGTTCAACGACCCCAAAATTGCCTGCAAAACAGTTCCGAAGCTGCTCGTCTGGTCAGCCGCAGACCAAGCAGGCATAAAACGTCTTGCAGAGAGCTGGAGCACGTATCTCGCAGGTTTATCAGTTGAGGAGCCAGAAGAGTACCTGGGGGATTTAGCACATACCTTATGTGGCAGGCGAAGCCACTGGGCCTGGAGGTCGTTCGTTGTTGCTAAACCAGGGGTACTTCTACAAGATCTGACCAACCAGTTTTCCCCCGCTACCCAAAGCGTTGATTCTCCACGCCTTGCATTTGTCTTCACTGGCGTAAGGATCCTCAAGAAAATGACTCTATGGCATGCTGACATTGAACAGCAAGGCGCTCAATGGTACGCAATGGGTCGGGAGCTTATAGGTCATTATGAAGTTTTCTCAAGGACCCTTACCGAATTGGGCGCGTATCTCAAAGAGCTTGGATGTTCTTGGGATATTTTGGGTGAGTAGACTGACTATATATTGTGCATCTCTCTGACCTTTATGTGATAGAGGAACTACAGAAACCAGGGCTGGATTCGAATGTGAATGACCCATCTTATGGCCAGCCACTTTGCACGGCACTACAAATTGCATTGGTAGATCTTCTTGAAAGCTGGGGTATTTCGCCTGCTGCAGTGGTTGGCCATTCCTCTGGTGAGATTGCCGCGGCGTAAGTCCTCCCTAGTGCTTTAACGCTCATTACATCTTACTAAGCCTTCTTGCAACTACAGATACTCTTCCGGGGCGTTAACCAAGTGGTCTGCGCTAAAGATTGCATACTTCAGAGGGTGTCTAGCAGGAGACTTAGGAAGATCTAGCAGCATGAAAGGAGCTATGCTTGCTGTAGGCCTGTCTAAGGAGAATGCGCAGAAGTACCTGCACACACTGGAGTCCCAGTTTGATAGTCCGGAAGTTGTTATCGCTTGCGTCAATAGTCCTCAGAGTGTCACATTATCCGGGAAACTGGAGCAGATTGACGCACTGCATGGCCTGCTAAATCGGGACGGCATATTTTCACGCAAGCTGGCGGTCAACGTTGCTTACCACTCGTTCCAGATGCGGGAGATTTCTGATGCATATTTAACTGCCCTCGGGGGTCTAGAGGCACCGTGCAATAGAAAGCGAAGGCGGCCTTTTATGGTGTCTTCCGTCACTGGGACATTGATTTCAAGCGAGCGGCTAGTGGAACCGAAGTATTGGGTCAACAACATGGTCTCACCAGTGCTGTTCCACAATGCAGTAAGCTATCTATGCTCCCAATCTGGCAAGACGTACAAGAAAATCGATGGAAGTCACCGCCATTCTGTCAAGATTGATCACCTTCTAGAAATTGGCCCACATTGTGCACTGCAGGGGCCGTGTCGGGATATTGTCAGTGTCTTGGGAAAGAGCGACAAAGTTTCATATGTTCCTTTCCTGGTACGCAACCGCTCCGCTCTGGAATGCGCCATGGAAGCTACAGGCCGTCTTCACTGCAGCGGATATCCAATCAAATTGGCGTTGGTCAATGAGGACGGCGAGGGGAAGGTTCAACGACGACCCCGTGTGTTATTGGATCTGCCCGAATATCCCTTCAATCACTCTACGTCGTATTGGCATGAGAGCCGGTTGAGCGAGGAATACAGATTCCGGCGATATGGCTACTTAGAGCTTCTCGGTACTCCGGAGCAAAGCGGTAATCCGATGGAGGCTAGCTGGAGAAACATCATCCGCGTCTCGGATATCCCCTGGGTGCAGGATCATAAGATCAATAGCACTATTCTATATCCAGGTGCCGGTATGCTGGTCATGGCAATCGAAGCCATCAAGCAACTGGCTGATCCGGACCGACTCCTTACTGGCTTCAGTATACGGGATGCCGTATTCTCTACTGCCCTGCAGATCCCTACGCACGCAGAAGGAATCGAAGTCAATGTTCACCTCAAACGCACGAAAGAGGGGAGGTCTGACGCCACCGGATGGTTTGAATGGCGCATATATGCATACGACAACGGGAACTGGGTGGAAAACAGCACAGGGTCTATCCAAGCTCTGTATGAGAGCCGAAACACAAGCTTTGATGCTGACGTTAGGGAAGAAAGAGAATGGGAAAATCATCTTCTTGGGACCTACAACAGTGCGGTACGCTCATGTACTTCGACTGTTGATGCAAAGTCTTTCTATAAGCATCTCAACAGCTGTGGATATCAGTACGGGCCTGAATTTGCCGCGATTCAAAGTCTCAGTTACAGTGAGTCGGACGGCAAGGCGCTCGTCACAAACATCCGGACATTCCAGCCTACCGGCGTTTACCCGATTCATACTATACATCCTACGACACTGGACGCCATCATTCAGATGGCAGCCGGGCTGGAATCAACCATGGGCCAGAGTGCGACCAATGTGGCTGTACCTGTGCGGATTGACCGGCTCTGGTTGACCAACTCAGGTGGTCTCAGCCATCCATTCGCAGATGCTGTCAGGGTTTGTGCTACTTTCAGTCAATCTGTTGTAGGATATAAAAGTTACTCAATGACAGCAGTTGACGTGGAGGTCTCTAAAGCACTACTGAATCTTGAAGGCTTAAAAGTGACGGCCATTGCCGGCGGAGGGACGACCCCTGTCTCGGACCAATTCATGACGGACAACCTATGCCACTACATAGCACATAAACCTGACATTGACCTCTTGACAAGTGAAGAGGCCCAGAGCCTTTATGGGGTCCCCGAATCGCAGGTCAAAGAGCCAGTGGAGTACTACACTGAGCTTGACTTTCTTGCAGCAACCTGCGTGAGCAGGTATGCAGCCTCGTTCCGCGAAGAGGAAAGAGACACCATGCCACCTCACATGAACAAATACATCGACTGGGCCCTCGAAGTCAAAGGAACACTTGATCAGGGTTTATCCGAATTCAGCTCCAAGCAATGGTTAGATCGCATGCATGACGATGACTATGTCAGCAAGCTACATAAACGAATCGAGAGTGGCAGTAAGAGGGGTCAGTTAACGAGTACCTTATGCCGAAATCTGGCTGGTTTCGTGAACGATCCGCTTTCCCATTTGTTCGGCAACAACCTGCTCGCGGATGTGTATCGCGAAATGGTAAGCAAGTCTGAAACTAAATGGATGTGGTCTGGTATTATTAACACGTTAACATATATAGCTTTGCGCCGACTCAATAAAATCACGGCTGGATAGGGTCGTTGGCGCACTGGGACACAAAAACCCACGGATGAAAATCCTAGAAGTGGGAGCTGGCACCGGAGCCATGACTGACTTCTGCATCAGGGCGTTGAGCATGGACTCTCCAGCGGACCCAAATCTGCGTCGTTACGGTCAGTGGGACTTTACTGATATTTCGAGCTCCTTTTTCCCGGGAGCACAGGAAATGTTTGCAGCAGAAGGCCAGCGTATGCGATTCAAAGTTCTTGATATTGAAAAGGATCCTGAAATACAGGGGTTTGAGTGTGGCACATACGATATGGTTGTAGCATTCATGGTAAGATAGAGTGCGGACAGGTATGGGTTCTCGCTAACGTTCCTAGGTAATACATGCCACGAAGGATTTGGTTGTTAGCTTGAGTAATGTGCGGAAACTATTGAAGAAGTGTGTGAATCTGTCTTCACCTAATTAAGGAATTTCTGCTGATATGGGTCTAGGGGTGGAAAGCTTCTACTGTTCGAAATCACTCACCTTCACCCGCTCAGGCTCAATCTTATCTTTGGTTTGCTTGATGGATGGTGGAGAAGTACGTCATTCTTTGCTCGCGTGCTGATCCCCACTGACCATAGTAGGTACGGAAACATACCGCCAGACAGGCCCCTGCATCAGTTCCGAGAAGTGGGGAGAGCTCCTAAAAGAGACAGGCTTCTCAGGATGCGATGTTGTATTCGATGATTACGAGGCCGATGTTTGCCGTGAAGGAAGCATGATTGTGTCAACAGCCGTAGCTCCACTCCCTACCGATATCACGGCAGTGAACATCATCATCAATCCGGAAGACCAGACCCAGGCTGATCTGGCTGCGGCGATATCTGATCGGCTCCAGCAGCTTAGTATTTCAAGGATCACCCTAACATCCATGACTGATATCGCACAGCGAAAGCTATCGGCGAACTTGTTAGACATCAGCCTTCTGGAAGCGACAACCCCTTATGTATGCGACATGGATAGCTCGGAGTATGAAAGCTTGCAGGCGCTGGTAGCTTCCACCAAGAGCCTCATCTGGGTTGATGAGGGCGGAGGGCTGCAGCCTCATCCCAAGTACCGACTACTCGACGGGCTGTTTAGGGCTCTTAGTGGGGAGATGTACCGGGCTCGACTGACAAACCTGAGTCTGGAGCGTCACTCCTCAAGGGAGCACAAAGCAGCGCAGATTTGCAAGCTAGTCTTGTCCGTTATTGGTGATGTTGAAAGGGGTGCAGACACGGAATACATGGAAATAGATGGAATACTTCACATCAGTCGCCTAGTAGATGCTAGGTCACTGTCCCAAGAGGTAGCCAGAAAGGCTCTTCCACAGCACGAGGAGCTGCTACCGTATGGTTCAGGGCCATCGTTGAGACTGAAGATAGGATCACCTGGTCTCCTGAACACGCTGCATTTCAACGAGGACAGGTCCCTGGAAAAGCCACTTGGCCCAAAGGACATACGAATCAAGGTCAAAGCCGCTGGTTTGAATTTCCGCGACGTGCTTGTTGCACTGGGAAGGTTGGAGAGCGATACCCTCGGGGCAGAATTTGCTGGTGAAGTTGTCCAGGTTGGAGATCAATGCCAGAAGTTCCGGCCCGGCGATAGAGTTGTCGCCTTCCATGCCTGCCGCTATGCTAATTATGTTATTTTACGAGAGGACATGCCCATAGTTGGGATCAAGGACGAGATGATGCCGTTCACGACGGCTGCTGCTATCCCTGTAGCTTATGCAACGGCGTGGATAAGTCTTACCAAGATAGCAGCGCTTCAAGCAGGAGAATCCATACTCATTCACTCTGGGGCAGGCGGTACAGGACAGGCTGCTATACTGGTTGCCCAATACTTAGGAGCGACTGTCTTTGCAACAGTTTCGACTGAAGAGAAGCGGCAGCTTCTGATGGACCGGTATAATATCCCAACGGAGCATATTTTCTCTAGCCGGAACACACTATTCGCGAAGGGTATCCGTCGGTTGACTGCCGACAGAGGTGTAGATGTTGTTTTGAATTCGCTTTCAGGTGACGGGCTTATTGCTTCGTGGGAATGCATTGCACCGTACGGTCGGTTTGTGGAGATCGGCAAGAACGATATCCTGTCGAACTCCAAACTTCCAATGCACCCATTTGAGCGAAACGTGAGCTTCACGGCTACTGACCTAGCTGGGATGTCGATCGACAGGCCGCACATAATCAGAGCAGCTTTGGAGACAGTATTCTCCCTACTCGAAGAAGGCAAACTAGGCCTTATTCATCCTCTGCAGGTCCGAGGTATTGCAGATATTGAACAGGCCTTCAGGCAGATGCAGACTGGAAAGAACTCGGGCAAGACTGTGTTGGAGATGCGGGACACGGACGAAGTGATGGTAAGTCATGCGATTAAGGTAGAAACAACATATGCTAATCCAAACAGACTGTTCTGGACACGAAGCCTACATACACATTCAAGCCAGATGCCACATATGTTGTTGCGGGTGGCCTGGGCGGCCTTGGTCGAAGCGTTTCTCGTTGGCTTGTTGAGCGGGGAGCACGCAATTTGATACTGCTCTCGCGCTCTGGCCCGGCAAGCCTGCATGCCAGGAGCTTGGTTGAAGAGCTGCACGCGCAAGGCGTACGAGTCATTACTCCTGCATGTGATATCACGAACAGAGAACTACTTAAGACAGTTCTCGAGGTCTGCAGCCAGCTGATGCCTCCGATTAAGGGCTGTGTGCAGGCATCAATGGTCATTCGCGTAAGCCCTCCCAGCCACAAACCTTGCCCCAAACAACGCACCGTAACTGACTTTCTGCAATGTATAGGCTCATAACTTCGAAAGCTTACCCTACCAATCCTGGAAAGAGACCACATCCCCCAAGGTCCAGGGATCATGGTACCTCCACGAGCTCCTCCCACGAGGCATGGACTTTTTTGTTCTCATGTCCTCCGTCTCGGGCATCATGGGAGTAGTCAGTGACTCTGGCTACGCCGCAGGCAACACATTCGAGGACGGACTAGCGAGATACCGCGTCGGAATCGGCGAAAAGGCGGTCTCACTCGACCTAGGACTCTTCCTAACAGCAGGATACCTCAAAGAGAACCCCGAGAGTCGAGAGCTATTCCTCTCTAAGACGGTCCTTAACGAAATACAAGAATCCCATCTCCACGCCCTACTAGACACGTACTGCGACCCCACTCAAGGCCCGATCTCCATGCAGGAAAGCCAAGTGGTCGTGGGCATCACACCCAGCAGACAGAAACTGAAAACGAACAAAGCCGAATGGCTAGACCGCCCCCTGTTCCGACATTTATCTCTGACCGACGGCAGCACAGAGAGTAGAGGAAACTCCGAAGACTCCTCCAACCTGGCAGCCCTGTTTGCGGGGGCGTCATCAACAGAGGAGGCCACGGCGATCGCCATGCGCGCAACACGGGAGAAGCTGTCCATTATGATGTCGACGCCAGTGGACGAGATCGACACGGACAAGCCCATTCACCAATACGGAGTGGACTCGCTGGCGGGGGTGGAGCTGCGGAATTGGTTTGCGCGCGAGCTGCGGGCGGACCTGGCCATGTTTGACATTCTGGGTGGTGCGAGTCTTGCATCGGTGGTAACGTTGGCAGTGGGGAAGAGCGAATACCGACGGTGACCAGGATGAGTTGTAGGCTTTGAAGATGCGGGGGTTGGTTGCATTGCAGGAATAGAATAGTCGGGTATTCAATTCTCGGATTTCTGCATCGGGCTTTGCCCCGACGGCAATTGACGGATATTGAGTTTCCGTTTTGGGAAGGTATCCAGTATATACATACCGCCAGTATAGAAGTAGCCCTGAATAAACCACTTCAACTCACCTGTATCCTCACAATCTCTCTTTTTCTCCATATACCCACCTCATACTCCATATAATTTCACCATGTCCAAACCCAGAGTCCTCCACATCGGCGACCCCATCAAATACAACCACGACATCTACGCCCGCTTCGCCTCACAATTCGAAATCATCCGCCCCAGCACCGAAGAACGCTCCCGGGATGCCTTCAAACAAGCCCTAAAAGAGCGCCGCTGGGGCGACTTCGACGCCATCTTCCGGCCGTTCTGGAACACCGGCGGCGAAATGGGTCGCTGGGACGAGGAACTGATCTCGTTGCTGCCCTCATCGGTTAAGATTGTTGCTTCAGCGGGTGCAGGCTACGATTGGGTGGATGTAGATGTGTTTGCTAGATATGGTAGTTCCCACCCATTCATCCATCCATCCATCGACTCCCTCCCTCCCTCCCTCCACCCTTTTCCTTTTTCTACCAAGAAGATATACTAATAAGAAAAATTTGTTAATGGTGTATAGGAATCCTCTACTGCAACGGCGCAGCGGCATCCTCCGAATCCGTCGCGGACATGGCCCTCCTCCTCATCCTGAGCGTATTCCGCAACCTCCGCTGGTCCCATTCCGCAGCGCACAGCATCAACTCGACACAATTCCTCGACGCACATACGAATTCACCCCTAACGGCACGGAACCCCAGCACGCAAGTCCTGGGCATCATCGGGCTGGGACAAATCGGGTATACAATTGCAAGGAAGGTGCACGCTGCGTTTGGGATGAAGATTCTCTACCATGATATTATCCGGAAGGAGCAGCGGGTTGAGGCAGAAGTCGGGGCAGAGTACGTGGGCAGTCTAGAGGAGATGTTGGGACGGGTGGATTGTGTGGTTGTGGCGACGCCGTTTGCGGGGAGGGTGTTGATGGATCGGGAGATGTTTGGGAAGATGAAGCAGGGGAGTCGGTTTGTGAATGTGGCTAGGGGTGGGTTGGTGGATGAGGAGGCGTTGGTGGAGGCGGTTGAGAGTGGGAGGTTGAGTGGGGTGGGTATGGATGTTCATGCTCATGAACCGTTTGTGCATCCGAGGTTGGCGGGCAATTCGAAGGTTATGATGATGAGTCATAATGCGGGGGGCACGGTGGATACGCATGTTGGGTTTGAGAGGTTGGCGATGGAGAATATTGAGGGGTTTTTGGTTAGGGGGAAGGCGTTGACGCCGGTTAATGCGCATTTGATTAGGGGGAGTAAGTTGTGATGGCCGGGGTTAGGGTTTGTATGGATGGGGATGGAATATATTATGTGTATCAAGTCTCGGGTACAGTAAGTAGTTTTTTTTAAGAAAAAAAAAGAAACCGGAATATTTTGAAGTATCAGACTTGGTGAAGGGTAAGCAAAAACACACAAAAGTCAGTTAAAGTAAAGTAAACTACCATGAAAATGTCTCCTCATAAAAATCCACCTTCTTGTTCCCTTGCTTCGCCCTCACTACCTGACGCACATCGTCGCCCATCTCGCCGGGTCCGCAAACACTCACAGCCATTGCGCCGACCTGGTGCGCCATCTCGACATCCAGAGTGTCCCGGAAGGATGGCCTGCCGGTGTTGATACTTATCGCCACTCCTGTCGGGGCGGAAATGGCCCATGGCGACTCCGGGGAGAAATCTTCGGGGCTACTGTCGCGAGTGCTGAGGTAGATCTGGATGGACAGGGCGAGCTCGGGGAATTCAAAGTATGATTCCTGTTTTGGCACGTTCGGCCCTTGCAGGGCTGGGTGGCTGAATAGGGATACCATCCAGGGCTGAATCCAGGACAAGTGGTCTAACAAGGGGGTAAGCTATGGGCTGCTTGAACAAAGTCCTGCTGGTCGACTCACCTAAGCTGCGGACGACCCAGACGAGGGTCACTCGTCGGACAGCGGTCGATCGGGATGCGAAACCGTTCACGATCTCGAGGAGGTAGGCGATTGGGTGCGTGATACCAATGCCGCCCGCGACCAGAAGCACCGATCCATATGAATCAAGCGACTCCAGGCCCCCTGTTCTTTGTCAGATACTGTCTGAGCTATGTTATGGGCAGGCTTACCGTATGGCCCTTCTGCAAGGGTGAACGCATTGAATGTCCGCTCGGGCGAGTTGCCCGCCTTTCGTACGAGCTTACTAGTGAGTCCATCGCGTCCTTTGACCAGAAAAGATACCGTCGTCTCCTGCGACCCTCCTACTGCACGATCGAGGGAGTCGTTGGAGGAGTTGGTGGCATCCTTATCAATCACACTTGTTCCGTCTTTCGATGTCCAGGCTACCGAGAATGGATGGGAAGTCCACAAACCCACTGATGGCATATACAGGTACGCATATTGGCCAGCTTTGAACCTCCATGGCCGTGCCATGGTAACATTCACGCGCGCCACATCGCCAGGGAGCATCTCCACGGTAGCCTTGGAGCACCGCGTGCCAATATTGCGCCAGATAACCCATGCCAGTCGGGTTGCTCTCTGCATACTATTAGCCATACTCGATGAAAATTTGACACACGTGGAATGGACTGTCTCTCATCCCTCTAAAGGGACATAATGCTTACATCGAAGCCCCAGAGGACCACTGTGACCAGCATGGCATATTGATGCGACATGCCTTCCAGGTGGTACCATAATCCCACGAATGCCATAATGGCCAAAGCGATATGGGAGTGAAGGAATGCTTCATAGAATGCATGTCTGACTGGCGACAAGGACTGGAATAGAATCGTTGTGAACGCAAAGATGGCCTACATTCATCGGATTTATCAGCGATCGGCCTCAAGCCTATTGCAACGATAAAACATACAACCAAGCCGCAGATGAAGAACTTCGTATTCCAGATGAGAAGTGTGGCCGCGGCCAAGCCGCCCTCTGTCGACCGTCAGTTTTTCTCTTCGCCCAGTCGCACAAGCATACTCACCTTCGAACACTTTCATCCTAACAGCAGCAATCAAATGGACAAGCGCTGAGAAGATGATGGTCCGTCCAACCCAACGGTGCATGAGATTGAAGCAATCGAACTTGATGCCCAGAAGAGGTACCAAAGGGTTATTGCGGCCTGCTGCCAAAACCAGCCCGGGCAGGTTCAACACCGCCATACTACCTGCCGAATATTGAAACTCGAAGATCACTTCGTCCCAATCTTTCCACCAGTCAACCATGACAAAGAAGAAGACAATGTTGATTGCTATGTAGACGGCTAGCAGAGCTGCTTCAAATCGCAGCGGAAGGATGCCCATATGGATGTTGTTACCGAGTTTCAAGTAGCGACTATGGCGTATGGAGAGGATTGGCGCATGGAATACATGCTTGTATAGGATGGTCGAGATGGTGCTCCTTCGTTTAAATCGACCCTGTTTATCGGTTCGTAGAATTTCGCGTAAACGCCGGCGATGGTAAAGTCGTATTAGCGTACGGCCAACAAACAGAACGAACAATGCTCCAGCGAGAATGAACATAGGCGTGGCCAACGCTACATTCATCGGTGGATGGTAGTCTATCTGTCGGGCCTCCCCGGGCTGTAGATGATCTACCCCCATGATGTCTTTGCCTTGAGGCTACCTGCGTCGGTGAAAAGTGTCGGGCTAGGTTCAGTGTTGAGATCTATGTCGGGTCAACGGAGGCGCAGGTTTCCAGAAAGTGGGAATGGAAGAAACCAAGTCACACCAACAGGGTATTCCCCAGCTACATATACGACAAGTCGGGCTACTATACATATGGTTCCGATCGTGGCGTCCCGAAGCGACTCCCGAGTATCTCTTCGATGCCGTCATGTAACCGGATCAGGGCTTCAGAGGCCATCTTGAATTGGGCCGGCAGATCTCCAGTGTGTCGTGCTCTCAGGATTTTGGCGCATCCAGACACTACACCTCAGCTTCCACATGTATCAGACGATTGCAACCTAGAAGAGTGGGGGCTGGAGGGTCCGCGGAAGCGTGCCTGGAAGTTGTCTATCTTAGTGGGAAACAGGCACAAGAGCTCCTCTAGCTAGCATGGCAAGCTTCGATCTCGAGTATAATGGCCAAGGAAAAGCGGGTCTTTCAAATTTGGCTCCCGTTAAGCTTTCTTCAGCGTGTGGCCAATAAATTGCTGGTCTGCCGTGCAATGGAATGGCATCGCCGGAAACGGAAAGAAGGTGGATGTAGCTGCAGCGTCCACAGATCCGAATAGTCTCCAACCATCGTCCTGTGGAGAGAAGATTGTTGCATTCGCCCGTCTTTCTAACTGGTTTACAAATACATGACTTGGTGGTGATGTAAGCTTCTGGCCTGGGTGGTGTTGGCTGCCCGCCGAAAATGAGAGGAGCTGAGCAGCTCAATTAATGCACTGAGTAGGGTATCCAGGAATACGTTACTCGCGCAACCAACAGGGAGTCTCTTGTCGAATGCATCTAAAACACATCTGCATGTTGAGTGGCTGGCCATGCTTGACAGAGACATGTTCAAAAATTCCATCCTTCCCATATGGACGCAGTCAATAGGACTGACGTCATGGACTGGCTGGATCCCCATGGAGAGCACGATTGACAAGGAGGGACGGGAATCTATGATCGCTTGAATGCCTGGGGAACCCGAGATAATGGTTGCATCCCGACCGATAACCATCAGGCATTGAAGCTCGACCTGGGCCGGTTGCAACGGCGCAAGCTTGGGACTGTCTCACTCACTCAGGGCTTCCGCCGAAAGTACCTGATTAGCTCATCACTGAGGCTTGTCGAGGCCCCGATCGACCATTCCAATGCCACCATATTTTCCACCATGCCATGAGAATTTTTGTTCTAGCCAGGTCAACTGTCACCTGCCATGAATTACATCC